TATTAAAAATAATAGTTAAATTAGAAGAAGAATTAGTAACATAAAATTAAAAGTAATTCTAATTGTTTCACTACAAAAAAATTGACTTTTTGCGACTGCAAAATGCTGTCGCAAATACTCAAAATGCCGTCTCAAAAGGTTTTTTGTGACGGCAGATGACTTTTAGCGACGGCAAAGGGGGGTTGCAACAAAGGGGGTCGCAAAAAGGTTTTAGTGACGGCATGTTGCCGTCGCCTTTTTTTTGCGACGGCAAGTTGCCTTTTTTTGCGACGGAATTTTTCCGTCGCCATTAATATGAAAAAATTTGAGATTTTTTGAGACGGCACTATTTTGCCGTTGCTAAAGGTGTTATTTGCGATGGCAAAAAAGCCGTCTCTAAAGAATTTTTTGCAACGGGATACTTGCCGTCGCTAAAAGAGTATTTGCGACGGCTAATGGTACCGTCGCAAAAGGCTTTACCTCAATTCTGCCAATATTATTTGCGACGGTAATATGGTGCCGTCTCAAAAAAAAAGAAACCCTGCAATAAAATTATTAAAAATATAAAAATTACTTATATTAAATGACAAATAATTGAAAAGGAAACTAATAATTACATAGTAATATAAAAATTTCAGTAAAAAAATAACAATTCATCCATAATAAAAAATTTCTTGCATTCATTCATTACAACACATTAGCAAAATTATCTCAGTACATAATATTGCATAATACATACACAATGTTTAAATACATAATGTTGTTCACAATTCAAAATAACGTAAATCAAAAACAAAAATTTCCCTCATGATTCTTCCGTGGTTAACAAAAACAAAAGTAAATCGCAATCTTCAAACGCCTGTATTCCACAAAAGCAAACTGTTACTCGGGATATATCTAAAAATAAAAAATAAAAATAATTAATGACTATATAATTATGTGTTAATATTTTAATTACAAAAAAACATAAAAAATTAACTACTATATAATTACAAAGATAATTAAGTAAATAATTTTGGCTAGACGAAAATTCGGCTCTAACTCCCAAACCGAGAACCCGATTGGGGTCCCGTCTTCTCCCACAAGTCTCTCATGCCTAGGCGGTTGTGTGTGCCAAGTTTCGTGCTAAACCGACGCCGTTTGGTGATTTTGGGGCGTCAACACCTCCAATTCAAATTTCTTAATAAACTAGTTTGCCTAGACCGAAATCCGGCTCTAACACCCAAACCGGGAACCCGATTGGAGTCTCGTCTTCTCCCACAAGTCTCTCGTGCCTACACGGTCGTGTGTGCCAAGTTTCGTGCTAAACCGACGCCGTTTGTTGATTTTGGGGCGTCAATACCTTCAATTCAAGTTTCTTAAAGAATTAGTTTGCCTAGAGTGAAAATCCGGCTCTAACTCCCAAACCGAGAACCCGATTGGAGTCCTATCTTCTCCCACAAGTCTCTCGTGCCTAGACGATCCTGTGTGCCAAGTTTCGTGCTAAACCGACACCGTTTGGTGATTTTGGGGCGTCAACACCTCCGTTTTCTCCCAGAAGTCTCTCGTGCCTAGACGGTCGTGTGTGCCAAGTTTCGTGTTAAACCGACGCCGTTTGGTGATTTTGGGGCGTCAACACCTTCAATTCAAGTTTCTTAAAGAACTGGTTTGCCTAGAGTAAAATCCGGCTCTAACTCCCAAAACGGGAACCCGATTGGAGTCCCGTCTTCTCCCACAAGTCTTTCGTGTCTAGACGATCGTTTGTGCCAAGTTTCGGGTTAAACCGACGCCGTTTGGTGATTTTGTGGCGTCAACACCTCCAATTCTAGTTTCTTAAGGAACTAGTTTGCCTAAACCAAAATCCAGCTCTAACTCCTAAACCGGGAACCCGATTGGAGTCTCTTTTTCTCCCATAAGTCTCTCGTGCCTAGACGGTCGTGTGTGCCAAGTTTCGTGCTAAACTGACGCCATTTGGTGATTTTGGGGCGTCAACACTTCCAATTCAAATTTCTTAAGGAACTAGTTTGCCTATAGTGAAATCCTGCTCTAACTCCCAAACCGGGAACCCGATTGGAGTCCCCGTCTTCTCCCACAAGTCTCTCGTGCCTAGACGGTTGTGTGTGCGAAGTTTCGTGCTAAATCGACGCTGTTTGGTGATTTTTGGGCGTCAACACCTCCAATTCAAGTTTCTTAAGGAACTAGTTTGCCTAGAGTGAAATCAGGCTCTAACTCCCAAATCGGGAACCCGATTGGAGTCCTGTCTTCTCCCACAAGTCTCTCGTGCTTAGGCGGTCGTGTGTGCCAAGTTTCGTGCTAAACCGACGCCATTTGGTGATTTTGGGGCGTCAACACCTCCAATTCAAATTTCTTAATAAACTAGTATGCCTATACCGAAATCCGGCTTTAACTCCCAAACTGGGAACCCAATTGGAGTCCCGTCTTCTCCCACAAGTCTCTCGTGCCTAGGCGGTCGTGTGTGCCAAGTTTCGTGCTAAACCGACGCCGTTTGAAGATTGTAGGGCGCCAACACCTCCAATTCAAATTTCTTAATAAACTAGTTTGTCTAGACCGAAATCCGGCTCTAACTCCCAAATCAGGAACCTGATTGGAGTCCTGTCTTCTCTCACAACTCTCTCATGCCTACACGGTCGTGTGTGCCAAGTTTCGTGCTAAACTGACGCCGTTTGGTGATTTTGGGGCGTCAATACCTTCAATTCAAGTTTCTTAAAGAACTAGTTTGCCTAGAGTGAAATCCAGCTCTAACTTCCAAACCGGGAACACGATTGGAGTCCCGTCTTCTCCCACAAGTCTCTCGTGGCTAGGCGATTGTGTGTGCCAAGTTTCGTGCTAAACCGACGCCGTTTGCTGATTTTAGGGCGTCAGCAACTTCGCCTTCTCCCACAAGTCTCTCGTGCCTAGACGGTCGTGTGTGCCGAGTTTCGTGCTAAGCCAACGCCGTTTGGTGATTTTTGGGCGTCAACACCTTCAATTCAAGTTTCTTAAAGAACTAGTTTGCCTAGAGTGAAATCCGGCTCTAACTCCAGAACCGGGAACCCGATTAGAGTCTCGTCTTCTCCCATAAGTCTCTCGTGCCTAGACGATCGTGTGTGCCAAGTTTCGTGCTAAACCGACGCCGTTTGATGATTTTGGGGCGTCAACACCTCAAATTCAAGTTTCATAAGGAACTAGTTTTTCCTAAACCGAAATCCAGCTCTAACTCCCAAACCGGGAACCCGATTGGAGTCTCGTTTTCTCCCACAAGTCTCTCGTGCCCAGACGGTCGTGTGTGCCAAGTTTCGTGTTAAACTGACGCCGTTTGGTGATTTTGGGGCGTTAACACCTCTAATTCAAGTTTCTTAAGGAACTTGTTTGCCTATAGTAAAACCTGGTTCTAACTCCCAAACTGGGAACCTGATTGGAGTCCCCGTCTTCTTCCAGAAGTCTCTCGTGCCTAGACGGTTGTGTGTGCGAAGTTTCGTACTAAACCAACGCTATTTGGTGATTTTGGGGCGTGAACACCTCCAATTCATGTTTCTTATGGAACTAGTTTGCCTAGAGTGAAATCCGGCTCTAACTCCCAAACTGGGAACCCGATTGGAGTCCCGTGTTCTCCCACAAGTCTCTCGTGCCTAGGTGGTCGTCTGTGCCAAGTTTCATGCTAAACCGATGCCGTTTTGTGATTTTGGGGCGTCAACACCTCCAATTTAAATTTCTTAATAAACTAGTGCGCCTATACCGAAATCCGGCTGTAACTCCCAAACCGGGAACCTGATTGGAGTCTCGTCTTCTCCCACAAGTCTCTCGTGCCTAGGCAGTCGTGTGTGCCAAGTTTCGTGCTAAACCGACACCATTTGAAGATTTTAGGGCGCCAACACCTCCAGTTCAAATTTCTTAATAAACTAGTTTGCCTAGATCGAAATCCGGCTCTAACTCCCAAACCGAGAAGCCGATTGGATTCCTGTTTTCTCCCACAAGTCTCTCGGCTCACAATGAGTCACAAGAAGTTAGTCATGAAGGCAAGAAGATCAAAGATACAATAGAGCCCATGAACCTAAAGAGGGAAATTGAAAAGCAACCACTCACACACAAATTATGAGGCTTGGAGAAGTAACAGAGATTTTGCTTGAATTACCAGTCAACAACTCACACACACACAAAATAAGTAACAAATGCATATATATACCCTCCGGAGAGTATTTGACTTAGGCAGAAAGCTCCCAGTTCCTTTGATACCAAGCTCCAATCACGACGAACCATATCAAGACCTTTTCGTTCAATAAGCTGCTCCAAGAATGCAATTCACCAGCATACACTGAGAATACATATTTTGAACAAGTTCAAAAAGTCCAAGAAAAATAAATAGTTTAAAAATCTACCTCAGATGGTGTTCCATCCTTAAACTGCACTTTGACAACTGCATATTTCTTTTTCTTGAGAAGCAGCATTCTCTTGTACAAGGCATCTGGTCAATTTCTAAACACTTATATTTTTTTGTTGACCTAAAACCAAAGAGATAGGAGAGACTTCAAACATCCATTGCAACAAGAAACTCATCATAACGTTTTTTAAAGAGTATATCCAGTTTCACAGAAACACATGTCCTATAGAGAACAAGAGGTCCAAATATTCTCTTTAGATTATCTAAACCCTCATTTCATTTTTTGTTTTTGTTTTGTGTGTGTGTGTGTGAATTATAAATGTGTTCTTTTTCCTGGAGGTCAAAAAATACAAGTGCTGGATTTTTTAAATCATATCTCTGGGTATGAGTTGAATTTTAAGTATGACCATGTGCCAAGGGGATAATGAGGAAATTGCAACCTTGGTGAGCAATGGATGCTATGTGCAGTGTTTAAATCACAAAATGGAAAAATCAAGTGATTCAATTTTAGTAAAGCACAAATGGAAAGATCAGGAAATTCAATTTTAGTTCAGTAAATTATTTGCTGACTACCTATCTATCTTGAATCTGTTTGTTCGATTAGAGGAAAAAAATAAAAATAAAAGAAAATAATGCAATGAATTGCAATTTACAACCAAATCTCACCTCTTGGATGACCTTCCTTGCAATCGCCTTACATTTTGCAATATCATCAAGTCCACTATAAATCATAATTGAATCTGTATCACCATAGATCACCTACCAGGTAGAATACAATACATGATTTAGAAGCCAAAGTATTTTGATGACTGAAATCAGGAAAAGGATACGCGAGTTGAAATAATACATTAAAAAAATATGAATCTCAGCATTTAAGAAATAACCTCTAAGTTTAAATTATTCTGAACTAGATCAACAGTACTTTGTAGGATCTCCCTTCCCTGCACAACAATGATGTAAGTTGCTTGAAACTAAAACAAGAAAACAACATTCAGCCAAAATCTGCGGACTTAAGCAAAGTTAATTATCAGCATCAAATTAAAAGTCCTACTTGTAGTGTTATCAGCTCTGCAAGCGGTTTTGCATAGAATCTGGAATTGGAAAAACCCAGGCAACCATACATACTGCAGGTGGGGAAAAAAAATTAAAAAAGAGTAATCACTGACACAACAAACAAGAGCTACAGTGAGTTACAATGAGAAGCAAAAGAAAATGCAAACCAAGTGAAACAGAAACCTGTTTGCAGTGAGTTTCAGTGCTTGCTGTTGTATGTCAAGCTGCTGGACCTTAAGTGTCATGACCCGAACCCGCCCCTATGGGTTAAGGACATAACTGACCAGTAATCCTGAGATTACCTACGGCCTCAGACCAAAACAGACATAACTCGTCAGAGTAAAGGGGCCAAACGGAAGCAATAATTAAAAACTTTGCCCATAGAGCCGTGCTTATATGCACATCAAACAAACCATACATGTATATGTTAATAACCCACAACAAAATATAGTACCATAAAATCCTTTACAGACAGGATCATCCAAACTGAGTCAACCCATATCAAAACTATATACAGATATACATAAAGTCCTTGCCAACAAGACAAACTATGAGTGCATAACAAAATGGCAAGGATGGGTCTCGTGCGTGAGACACAAGGCTGACTCTCCAAAACTCATGTTGTTCCTGGCAAACTTCACTGGGGCTGGGTTTGGACTTCTCTTGGCTCACCTACAAACACATGAATGAGCGTGAGCAATAGCCCAGTGAATAATATCAAATACAGAAATTACATAACAATGTAGAACAACATGTTCCAAACGGCCTTTGGCCCAATTCACATTTCTACTTAACATATATATACTTATACAAAATTTAGATCAAGTGACTGTAGTTCCAACATACTGGCCTTTGGCCCATTCAGGTTTCCATTCCTGTCAAAACGGCCTTCGGCCCATTCATTTATGTCAAAACGGCCTTCGGCCCATCCATTTATGTCAAAACGGCCTTCGACCCATTCATTTCTGTCAAAATGGCCTTCGGCCCATTCATTTCTGTCAAAATGGCCTTTAGCCCATTCATTTACGTCAAAACGGCCTTCGGCCCACTCATTCATGACAGAACGACCTTCGGTCCATTCATATAGGTCAAAACGACCTTCGGTCCGTTCATTTATATCAAAACGACCTTTGGTCTATTCATTTACATCTGTCAGACTTTTGTTCACAATCCCAATTAACAAACGTCATAAAGTTTATAAGGGAATAAACAAAATTGACATTGACAAGCTTTCAAAATATTGATTATTTAACTCACAGTGATCGCTTGCAGATTTGCCCTGACTTGACCCTACACCATTGCGACATGAACACGAAGAGGGTCATAAAGTTCAATCCGTTCCTTTAATCTCACATATTCCTACTTTATGCTTTATTCTTATCCTCATAACTCAATCACGATGTTTAACAACTATGGCCTAAGAATGTTTACAAGTGAAAACAGAGGTAAACACGAAACAATCAGAACCGCGTGATGAACGGAATTTTCATGAAAACACGTACCCCCGCTTCGAGCGTGGAACTTCCACCCGCTCGCCAGAGCGACTGCCCAAGATGGCCTGCAATAGTACCTGTTACCTCAAAATTACGCTCTAGCACAGCGCCGATAATGTGTGAAGCTCGAGCGGAAGGCTCGTCTACAAAAGCTCCCCGCTCGAGCGAACAGCCGACTCTGCAAAAAGTGCTGGGAGCACGAAATTTATGCTCGAGCGTAGTTTCTCCCGCTCGAGCGGGCCTCAAAATTCTGGAAAACCCAGAATGTGTTCTTGAGCTCAAATTCGGTTTCCAACCAACATATCTTGCATGCAATGACTCAAATCTCAAATATAATTATACTAACATGATGTAAACCCCAAATCACAACCCAATGGAGCTCAATTCACAAATAATTCACATGCATGCCCCAATCTCCCATCAAACTCATTCTAACATAATAAATTTATACATTCAAGTTCATATCTTCATAAATTGTACATGCATGTGATGAATTGCCACATTCTCAACTTAGACAACACAAATGGTGATCAAGACATGAGTTTCAACCAAAACTCTACATGAATCATGTATTTTAAGCTTATACATGCTATTTCAAAACATTTCGTCACATGCACGCATATATCAAGCTTTAATCCAACAAAACCAACCCAATTTCATTTCAATCTTACTTTTGATCACCCAATTAGCTTACACACACAAAATTACAAACTATAATCCAAGAATTACTCACCTAGAAGCTTTGATTCACACAATCTATAACAATTCTTGGATTATCTTCAAGGTTCCCAAGCTTTAAGCTACAATTTGCACAATTCTCTCCTCTCTCCCTCTCTACAGCCGACTCTCCTCCTTTTCTCAAGGTTTGATCAGCCAAAATGAATACATAGGAGAGAATGGGAAGTGTAGTGACCTTACCCAACAATTCCCACTAACTCATGACAATAATAGTAAATAATTGGGCACCAATTTACCAATTTAATCAACTTAATCTGGTCCGAATCAATTTTTCAATTAAATTTCACCGT